CCCGTACACACTCGCATGCACACACACTCAATTACTGTGAAACACACACATTGTTTCGAGCACTTCACACATAGCCACTTTCTTATTTTCTTCTACATACACCTACACCCATTCGCACACACTTGCAACACAAACACATCCTTTGTAAACACCAACACATACTCTTTTATTTTTTTTCTTCATGCACATTCCATTGCGTACGCGCACGCACACATACACACACACACAATTTTATGCATTTTTTCTATACACGCACATACTGATATATAGATGCTTACACTCACTCACTGTTCTTTTAGTTTTATTTTGAAAAAGCATTCATAAATTTATTCACAAAGAAAAAGAATCCATGTTATACTAATTAAGTAAAATTAGAAGTAAACGAAAATGAAAGCCGGTTAATATCCCTATCTGTACCTGCATGGATACTACTTTAAAAAAATACAATAGTTAGGTCTTTACGGTTTGTTAATGATGCAGTGAAAAATGAGGCAGGACGTTTTGACTTCTAAAACTTCACACAAAGTAACATCATAAAGCTTAACCACTTAATTTACTCTCCCTACTTGAAACTACTCTCAACATTATGCAATGCAAATTCAAGGTAACTAAGAACAATAAAAAAATTAAAAAATATGTCACGGCTTACCTAATAAATCAATTATGAATTATTTGGTTTAACAAGGCTTTTGAAGCTTTTCCACTTGAAGATGCTTGAAGAACACTAAAAAAAATTAGTAAAGTTAATTTTTAAAGAAGCAAAAGCTTGTAAATATTATTGATCTTGAAGGTTGTGTTTACAACCTAAATATTAAAGCCATTATATACACTTTACTCTTTGAATTTGACTCATAGTAGGATTACATATTCCTGCTTTAATTCTAAGATTTAATTTATCTAGGACTTATACTTAAAATAATAGAACAATTAAATCCTTATCTAGAAGTATAATTAAATTAATAAAATATTACTAACTTAATTGAAGTAGATTTCTTCTCTTCTTGAACGAATATCCACTTCTTTTTTATGTTTTTTTTTTTTTTTTTTTGTTCTCTAACATTGATTATAATTCCAAGAGGTTGCAGCATTGGAATTGAAACAAAGAAGGGAAGGAAAAGTCTATATTGGACTGAAGGCAATTGACAGGCTGTCCGCAAGCAACTGCCACGCAGGCTTTTTGGTCACGCGCTTTTGGGCTTGCACAAAAGCCTCCATGCGCGCGCGGTTGAGGTACACACACAGCTAGCTTTGCTCGCACATGTGCGTTCTTGTACATGTGGCAAGTTGAGGCATGTGCATGCACGTGCACGCTCTTGCTGCCTACCCTTACTCCTTTATATGCCCTGAGTGCTCCTTTAGGTAGGCAAAAATCCCACCCACGTGCGGAAACTTCTTCTTGTGCATGCGTGGGCCAATCCATACCATGGTATGGGCTTCTTCTTGGGGCAGAATTCTAAGGCTGAGCCTTTCCTTGCCCGTGAGGCCCAATAACTTCTTCATCTCGGGTCATCCTTCTTAGTCCCGGATTCACTTCCTTTCTGGTCTTGGATTTGACGAGATCCTGCATGGATAATCTCTGTTCGGGAGCACTTCCTAATGTGTACTGGAAGTACACTATTGCATGATCGCTTTTACCCCTCTGTTGTCGTATCTTTGTGGATGCTTGAATTCTAGAAATATCACAAGGATTTTTCTCATTTGTTATCATATCAATTACTCGATAGAATAGCTCCAAAAGAATTAATTTCAATATCCTTACCTAAAAATAGAAGAGAAGGTCAACGTTCCTTCGATCTCCGGTTATAATTTTAAACCTCCTCACTCTCGCGTCTTAAGGTTCCTCAACTAAAAATATAAATAATTTAATAAATCTTAGAGCGGAAGAGAAGAGAAGTGACGGAGAAAATTGGAGAAAAACACTTACCAAAGTCCATTTTCCTTCTCTGGCACAGCGACGTGGCCTTACACAACTCTCTCTCTCTCTCACTCACTCACTCACTCACTCACTCACTAACTCTAATTCTGGCAATCTCTCCCTCTCCCTCTCGCGCTTTTTTTTATTCTCTGGCAATAAATGAGGTCGACAAGGTTGAGGGTCAGTTTTTATACCCATCCCTGGATTTCTCAATCATCAGATCAAGTCCCACGTGGCCTCCTGAGGATTATTTTATTAAGGGTAATTTGGTCATTTCTCTCATCACACGAATCCCCACAATTAGATCCCCTTTCACCCGCTCAATGCTTGCAACGGTAACAATTGTAGGATGATAATTATAATATCACCCTCAACTCTTAGACTCACATTTACTTTTATTTAATATATTACATTTTCTTATTTCCATATTAGTTTCTCTATTAATCATTAATATATAGGTTACACCGCATTTTACTTTTATCATTTTGTTTTACTCAGATTTTACTATTATGTTAATTATGCTCCTGTATTTGGAATGCTCTTTCCGAATTTTAGTGTATACACATATTATATCGTTAAGTAGAATTTATTTATATTTTATTTCACATTGTCATAAAGACACTACATTTAATTGATTTCTACCGTTATGTTTACTCCTAGTATTTTAAATTTTCTAGAATTTAATTATACACCTAGTAAACTAATTGTCATTTTATGTTGCTTCTAAAATTTCTTTAAGGAATTACTTTAATTATCTTTTCTATGATTGGCCTAACAATTTGAACACCCTTGAATTACTTGGATAATTTAATTTAGCTGGACCTAAACTTCTCTTTTATTTAGCTAACTACCCTTTTTCATATTCCCAGTAAATTTTATTTGGAATTTCGTGATAGTGAATACGCATTAGTTAAGCCTTAACGACTCTTTGACTTATCTACTTGCCTAAAATCAAGTCTAATCAATATTATTTTCTAAGTTCATTTATATATGCTGTTTATTTATGAATAAGTAGTAATAATAATAATAATATTATTATTATTATTTTAAATTTAGCTCCTCTTACGATTAGTGAATAATCAATTTCCAAGACTTTCATATTTAGTCTCCCCTTACCTGCGGTTCACTATTTGAACCAAATTACATCCCAATAATAATTGTCACATTATTTATATGATCTATTGTTAATAATTCTAAACTTTTAAAACTACGTGTCCACATCCCAAATGATCGTATCTATTGTTTAACTTAAATTCAAACAAAATTAATTGAGTCACATTATATTATTCGAAATTGATAATCAGTAATTTCTTTTAAATTACTTTTCTAATTAAACAATTTGTTCTCTAAGGTTTCTTATCAAAATTTTCATTTTCCTTAGTTAATTTTATTTATGAAGTAACCAATTTATATCCCCTGATTATTTTTTTTATTTTACAGTATCTTGAAGTTTCAGTTTCTATCCATTCCCTTCAAAATCCTAATTATTTTTCATCAAAAACCATATTATTCTTAAAACCTCATGCGTTAAGATGTCACTTAAAGTTTAAGTGAAAGATTGTTAGATATTTTCAACAAATAAATTTAATGTGGACTTGGCTATACGTAACATGTTATCGATCTATGGACACATTTAAAAGTAATTAAATACGTTTAAACGGAATTAAATCTTAATACATTGAACTTAAGTACGAGTTTAATATGTGCGGATATAATTTTTGTAATTTCTTGTTTTATAATAAACAAAATAGAAAATGCAAAACTATGTCGATATAAATAGGTGTTTATGATCTCTGAATTACACATGCACTATTTTACTTTTCTGAAATTCCATCACCAGAAAAAAATAATTTTTGAAATCTTGTGTTGATTTTGAAATATTTACTGCAGAACATAATCGAATCTTCCGCGATGGATTCAAGTACGCTTTCGTTTATCTTTTCTTATTGATTTGATACGATATTATATATTTAGATTATTAGATCATATTTGATTTGAAAAAGTTTTCTAACAGAATCAAATAATCGTCATTCATTCTAATATTAAGTTGAATACCAAGCTCTTAACTCATACTAATATGAGTTTTTGAGCTTATGTTAGTCACAATATATTACAATCACACATCTATTTGGTAGACCACTTAATTATTATAATCCAATATCATACAAGTAGTTCAAAGTATTATGTTTTACTAACACACAAAGTATGTTAAGAATGATTATCACTTTATTCGTCATCATTTTCTTCAAAACACTATCAATATCGTGCTTCTCTCCTCTAACACTAAATTGTAGGTATATTCATAGAATTTGCTTTCGTGAAATTGTTTACAAATTCCAATTGACAAATTCTCTATCATGTTAAATTTGAGATAGTACTTAAAAATAAAATATGTTATTAGCACTGGATATATGGATCTACTATATCAACTGTATAGATAAATATTCAACCAAGTGATTATACAGTTTATCTTTCAATCTAGTTACAACTATCTTAAATTAATAAAAGCTTTGGTAAGCTATTAAAATTATCTTCAAAAGTTGATATTTGTTACAATTTAGTTTTAAATATTTTTTTTATAATTTAGTTTCTTAGATTTTTTGTTTATTTCAAACGTTTTACTTCTTTCTATTTTATAATGAAAAAAAAACTAGAATTGTTAAGTTATGTTTGGATGTTCTGAAAATAGCTCAATTGATTATTTAATTTAATTATTATTAGTTTATAGATTTAATCAATTAGTCAAAATTATTATTTTGAGTTATGCTTTAAAGCATTTAAATATTATCTATCTAACATTTTCAAATTTTTTCCTTAAAAATATAAGAAATTAAGTAGTCAAAACAAATAAAAATGTTTGAAAACTAAGTTATAGAGAAAAAAAAATATTTGGGATCTAAATATAAGAAATATAAAAATTTTTGAGATGAATTTGATAATTCGATTTAAAATCTTTATGTACAATTGTTATAAAAAAGCTTGTCCAATTATGGCATACAAAATTCTTCCAATTTTCTTCATAATGAATTTATTTGATTTTATTATTTTAAAAAAGGTAAAAGATAAGACACTATAAAATACTCCTCCGACCATTACATATTTAACATGTTGGTTATTAGCTTTTTATTTTTGGAAATACGAGACAATTAGTTTGTGTTTGTGTGTGTGTGTGTGTGTGTATATATATATATATTAGTCTAGATAGTCTGGTCGGTGCACGGTGGTTAATCTTATTTTTTTTAAAAAAATAAATAAATATATATATTTGTCTTGTCATGTCCAAGTAGCTTGAGTGGCAAGTGAAGCGACTCCCTCGTGCTTAATAGTGCGTGGAATCACCAACATTAATACTCATAACTTTAAAGTTAGATCTGTAGATATTAGCCGTTAGATTATGATAAAGGAGAGCCGATGGTGAGAGATGCAGCAAAGTAAGATCTGATGGTCAACGGGAGAAAAGCCGGGGGAATCTCATTCAAAAGAAACTTGTAATGGGACCCACCAGTTGGCGTCGGAGAATGTGACGGAAAGCATTTCAGTCAAACATGACAACATCCTCACAAAGACCACTATTTCCTTTTTGTTTTTTTTTTTCTTATAAAAATAATTTATATACTAAAATCGTTCCTCCTTTGGTTCTTGAAGAAGGAAAAACATATATTAATATAATTTATAAACTATAAAATCATAAAATATATTTTACTCACCAATCAAATGGTAACATTTTTCTAGAAAAGATTTACTTGGGTTTTTGAATTATGTGCTTTATACAATTAGAGTATAAATATTAAAAATATTTACTCACTTAAATCAATAAAATAATATAAACATTTTAAACAACTAAACTTATCCTACCTATTATTTATTTATTAACCATGATGAATGAGTACGTAGTTCTGAATTTAATTCTATTATATGCAAAATATCTTGTCTAGTTCACTAAATATATTAATTAATTTTACCAAATGCTACTTAAATAAATAATTGATACATTTTTTTAATAAGAAATCATGAATTTGTATATTCTATAAAAAAAAATATATTTTTTATTATATTATAATTAATATCTATATTTACTTTTTTAAACAAAAAATATATTAATATAATTTCTTTGTGATAAAAAAAATAAACCCAAAAAAACAAGTTTATCTTTTTTTTTAAAGAAAAGATTAATATAAACAAGGAAAAGATTGACCCGTGTCTGTTCATCTCGCGGACAAGAAAAAGCAAGCACCAAATTTTCTACTGGACAAGTTTGAAACAGTTTAAAAAATACACCCACCTCCCTCTTTCCCTTCATCTTAATTCGATACTCACTTAACGCAGCTCACGCCTACCTTCCTTCTCCATTTCAAAACGTCTCAATCTTTTGAATCGCCAGTTCAATCTCCTTGTACTAATCAACAATAAAAACGACAACCCATCTTCTTATTTCTTCTCATATGTACGTAAATTTATATGTACATGTAGTAGGGATTAACTATAGATATGGGTATGATAAAAATGTTGAACAGATTGCAGATCATCCCATGGTGTCTCCACCTGATAGGAAGTCAGAACTCGTGCTTCCAACTTCCTGCTGCGCCACCGCCGGCGACAATCAAGCTCATAAAATCCGACGGTATGGTTAACATCTACGACCGTCCGGTTTACGTCTCGGAGTTGATGATGGAGTTTCCAAAACACATGGTGTGTCGGTCTGGTTCGTTTTACATTGGTCAGAAAATACCTGCGCTTTCTGAGCACGACCAGCTTCAATTCGGCCAGAAATATTTTCTTCTCCCAACTCACTTGTTCCACTCAGTTTTGTCTTTCGTCACCATAGCCTCCTTCACCCAATCAAGAAACTCCTTGCTGAAGAAGACAGCTAGTTGCAGCAAGCCTTTTGATATTCAGAAGACTCCATCTGGGTGTCTCAGAATACGCGTCTCTGATGACTTTATATGGCAACTCATGCAACAAGGAAGAATTACGCAGGAAGATGATGAGATGGGTGGGTCGTCAAACGGCGTCGTCTGCACCACTGCTCAGTTGCAGAAGGATTACAGTCAGCTTGTTGGGTCGCGACAATGGAAGCCAAAGCTGGAGACGATAAGGGAGAAAGGTGAGAAGAGAAAAAAACTGCCAGCTTTTCGAATTAAGACGAAAAACAAACTCAGATCCTCATCAGATAATCAGATCAACCGCCATGGTTTCTGTAGCAAACCCAAGATTAGGTTTAGAGCAAGAAAATGATACGACGTCGTATATAAACACATATGTACAATGTGTTTTTTTTTTTTAAACCTTTTTCTTTTGTTTTTCATTTCTAATTTACTGGTTGCTTAAGCTGTGCTTTGTAATAGATAAATTAAGTGGAAATACAATTTAATGGAATGGGAATAGATATAACGGATGAACCAATCAACAAGTTATTTAGTCGGTATTCTACACTTCATAATTCAAATCTTATTTTCACTTATTTAAAATTTAAGAAAAATATAACGATATTTATTATCTTTATAGAACTAATGAATGAACTTCAAGTTCTATTCTCATCCTTCAAATAAAAGTCACCCAGTTGTTTAGAACCTTGAATTTTAAATTAACTAACATTGTTACTACTTAATTTTACTTCTCTCCTGAAATCTTAATTTTTTTTTTTTTTTTTGCAGTTCGAACACCTAAGATTTGCCCAAGACTCGAGACTAACTTATATTTGTAATTTTTTATTCTTATTATTTATTTTTTAAATATAAACTTGAC